TATATATATATAGAAAATAATACTTAAACAGTCAAGCAAATGAAAATCAAAAGAAAAACTGCATTAAAAACAGAAACTACCATTACTTGTCAAACAGAATCAGAACTTCACAAATATGAAAATATAAGTGTTTTACTGTAATCTTTCATTTTAACACATTAAACTGCCAATAATTACACACATATCCAAATACACATCAGTAAATTATATTATCTCAGAAACTATAAATATATTTAGGAGATTATAACAGATGCTTTCCAGTGTTTGTTTCATGAAAAATCCGAATATTTGGATAGAATTATACAATAAAAACTTTTCTGGTATAAGGTCTACAAAATGTATATGTAACATTAATGTTAGAATTCATGCGTTGTCATTAACCAATTAGATTTCGATTCTAGGCCTAAAAGATCTAGTAAACATAGGCAATACTAGCAAACAGCCTCACAAACACGTCAATCCTCTTTTAACTTTGTATGATATCAATCATCAGCACACATGAAATACTGCTTAGCAAATAATGGTGATTAATTAAAACTCATCTAGGCCTAGCTTAACAGCTGTTGTAGCAAGTTCGAGTAGATTATGTAATTTGAGAAGTCGTACACCTTTCACAGTCTGAATCCTGTGTGCCACAAAGTATTTACAGACATCTAACCTTTTGCATGCCTTTAATTCCTTTCCTGTTTAATATGAGGCACTGAAAACTAAGTATCTGAAAATATCTGGGTATTCCACGTTGCGATTGTCCATAACTGCATCTCCATTTGTCAACATGACTAATGAATTGACATCTAAACTTGTGGTTACTGTAGGAGGAATAGAATATGGGTATGTCACATCCATTCCAAATTGCTGACATTTTTCCTTGTGTTGATATTTAGATAATTCATTTAAACTCTTTGTCAAAGTGCTGAATACAGGCTTTTCCTCTACAGAATGTAATGTTAGAGTTAGGGTAGATGCCATGTTTACATCCAAAATGGCAGATGGCAAAACTGGTTCTGCTTTCAGTCACATAACTGTATCTCCTCTATAGTCAGTAAGGACTTCGTGATCAATGGGTGAGATAATAATGTTACAACTTTGGATCCACAAACTGGTTTAGTTAGTAAGGGCTTCATGATCAATGGGTGAGATAATAATGTTACAATTCTGGATCCACAAACTGGTTTAGTCAGTAAGGGCTTCATGATCAATGGGTGAGATAATAATGTTACAATTCTGGATCCACAAACTGGTTTAGTCAGTAAGATCAATGGGTGAGATAATAATGTTACAACTTTGGATCGACAAACAAGTTTAGTCAGTAAGGACTTCAAGATCAATGGGTGAGATAATAATGTTACAATTCTGGATCCACAAACTGGTTTAGTCAGTAAGATCAATGGGTGAGATAATAATGTTACAACTTTGGATCGACAAACAAGTTTAGTCAGTAAGGACTTCAAGATCAATGGGTGAGATAATAATGTTACAATTCTGGATCCACAAACTGGTTTAGTCAGTAAGGGCTTCATAATCAATGGGTGAGATAATAATGTTACAATTCTGGATCCACAAACTGGTTTAGTCAGTAAGATCAATGGGTGAG